TCTCTCTCTCTCTCTCTCTCTCTCTCTCTCTCTCTCTCTCTCTCTCTCTCTCTGTCATGATAATTACAAGAATGGAAAGGACATGGACAAGTTGAGTCAACTTTGGCCCTTTCTGGCCCCCGTAGAACCTTTTCGTTTTGTTCTGAGGCAGACAGGTTCTTTGCTAAAGTGGTCTTTTTGGAGCAAATGAGCTGGTGGAATATCTCCCTATTCTTACCAGGTCAGCACCAACTTCTGAATGTCTGTCTTCTCGGGTGTGTAGGGGTTTTTAAGTGCCAGGGAAATCAGCCATGACCATGAAGCTTGTGTGTGTGTGGAATATATAGCTTTTACCTTAGGCCTGAACTTCCTCCTTTCTTGGGGTGGTAGCAAAAAAAAAAAAAAAATGGGGTCATGCCCCTGCCTCCTAGCTGGATGAGGAGCTTCAGGATCAACGGGGACAGGCCTAGGACCAGAAGTCACTGACACTGACTACTTTCAAGGGTATTTGCCAAGGCTCTCCCAGGGTAGGAGCTTCTGTCTGGGGGGACGAGTGTTAAGAAGCCTTGGGAAGGGCTAAAGAGCCAGTCCTTCAGGATCTGAGAAACCGCCCTCCACCTTGTGTGTCCCACAACATTCCCTGTCTCTAAGGAGGTCCTCAACTTCTATGAAGATTCTAATGTTGAAAATACATATCTGAAAGAGGAGGCTCCCTGATTCGAGGAGCAAAAGGCTCTCCCTGGGAAACTTCCTGCCCACCCCCCAACTGTCCTGTTTTCACACACTCTCTTCCAGCGTGTCTACTGCTGCCTGGGAAAGTCTGTGCCTTTCTGCCCTGAACACTGCCCAGAGCACCCTTTGCCCACCCACCTCTCAGTGGCTGAGAACTTCACCAAAAGGGACTTTGCCTTACTGGGACAAGGAGGAGCACAGTCCTAGGTGCTCCATTTGTATCTCCGCTGGGCTGATTTAAGCATTTTTGTGCAGGTGGATTGAATGTTTGTCCCCCAAGTCCCATCTCCTGTTAGGTCAGTGAAGCCCGCTTCCCTCTTTCTAGGGTAATGGGAGTAAGGGGGTGCATAAGCCTCGTGAGAACAGCCAGATTTCCACTTGGGAGAAAAAGGTAAAATGAACTTGCCCACTCGTAGCCTTTTCTTCTAGCGATCTTCGTCCCACCCACCTTTCACCCATGCTGCCAGGGGAGGGTGAGTGAAGGAGCAAACATCATTCCACACCCATTCCTGCATAATCCATCATTATAGGAAGTAGGGAGAAGGTTTCAATTTGGATTTCGTAAAGCTTACAGACTTCAGCAATCTTCCCTCGGGGTGGGGGGAATATTTCACTTAATGTGTTAGTTGTTCAAAT